TGGACGGGGCCTGATCGTTGAGTACTTGAACCAGAACAAGTCGTTTAATATCATTCCATCATTTTAGGGTGAGGCCCTATTGGATTTTGGAGTCGTTCACAAAAACAGTGGTTCACGTTCTCTTTGGGCAATTTGGAATTCGATGTCGACCGCAAATGAGTATTTTGTGGAATACATTGATATAGAACTGTGAGTGCACTTCATTCTTAGTTCATACCTAGCGTGAAACTGGAGAATTGCGGTCTTATTCAAATGGTGGAATTGAGGAAATCCACGAATCGAAGTTAATTCGAATCCGGGGGGGGGGCATCATCAAGATGGGAGAACTAGTGGTGTAAGTATGAACCCTCGTAAGAAGGGTCTCGGTACCACGCCCAACACATTTGTGTCCGTCCCAAAATTTCGCTCTTGACGGGAAGGGAGAGGGGATAAACGGGGATAGACACCTCGGATCAATCGGAAATAGTACTTTTCGGCGACCCGCCTACTATGAGTGATATTCAACGTCTGAAACGGGAGAATCCGCAGTCGGACCTTCTCCCTGCCCGGGTCATGACATCTCCCCACCCCTTCCGATAATTCTCCAAAGACGATGTGCTTTGCATGGGTCGATTTCACCAATGTTGTATTAGTGGAGGAAGGCTGGGATGAGTGTTTAAGTGATGAGGCTTGTTTTGCGCTAGCTAGCTTTCCACCAACAGTGGTCGCCTGCCAGCTTCCACAAATGGTTGGAAAAAATCTGGCGCTGCGCCAGAGTCGCCCCGCTCAAAAGCCCCGGCATCCGCAGCGAGCCAGGCTGTAATCAGCTTTTATGTTGTCTATCCGATCACTCTTCAACGACGTTATGAATAATCGCGGGCTTACAGTACTTTTTCGTAAAGATTACAGGCACTGAGTTTTCTAAGACCTCGTTTTCATTTTTTAAGTTACTTACTCAGATTCATTGCTTTGACCAGTTTTTTTAGTTCTTCTATGCGCATTGGAGAGTGGCGCAAGGTTAATACATTTTCGTTGCCGGATCCCGTCTCCGATGCCATGACTGTAACAGAATTAAAAGAATCCATATTCAACATAGATTCTCACCCGTTTGAGATCGTTTCTAGATCTGTGCAGGTCAGTTCCGGATTCTCAAACTTCATCGCTGTTTTGTGTTTCTTTTTTTCTGTTACTTTCTCGTTCATTCATAGATCGCATGCCAAGGATCACGATGTGAGTGTGCTCATGGAGACTGGGTTGCTTTGACTGCGCATGTTGATTCGTATCTTCGCTCTCCTGAGGTACTAGTATTTCGACCCCCCCCCTACCCCACTTTCCAGTTTCCAATGAATTAGGGCCGTCAGAATACGAGTTTTTTTTTTCAGTTTGATACCAACTACGGTCATCGTGGTAGTAGAACCATAAAGTCGTCGTCGAGTGACTCACAAAATGAAGCAGAACAGAGGTATGTTTTTTGAGTAATATAAAACTATTACTTAAAGATAGTCTCTTTTCCTGTGACAGTGTGTATTTACTTTGCTTGAAAGATTACATTTGGCTGATAGCGATGCGCCGTTCTTGAATCAATACAGTCTTGTTCGCCGTGGATGATGGGGAATGTCAGGAGGGATGGGTTCGGCACTGCACCAGACCTGTTTTTTTTCTTGGTTGTTGGAGCGAGCGAGCGACAACATTGTAAGCATACCATGTCAATGCGTTTTCCGCCAGTAATTGTCGCTTACCCGCTTCAGCAACTGGTTGAGAACGAGGTGACGGCGGGCGAAATTTCGCCTCACTAATGCTCCCCATCTGCAGCGTAAAAGACTATGGTTGTCCTTCAGTACGGTTCCCCATGATTATTGACTGTGTTTATGGTAACAGTTTTGGCGGGCTCATTTTTTAGGCTCATTTTTGCTTAATACGGTTCATACCCGCATATTTTCGATTTTTCAAACGCAAATCTAATTCAAAACGAAATCGCGTTTGTATTTCGCGGCAAGCCAGTCGTGTGCTCAAAAAACTGGATGGGGATTGACTGACCCCCGAGGCCAGCGAATTGGAAGAATAGGTGCTCCGCTCATTTAAAGACACATGGTACGCTCACACACATTGAGGGTGTATGTGACTATCAGCCCCCAGCTGTCGATGTGTCGTGGTTTCCCCGCCCGAAACTGCACGGGGTTAGAGTACAGGGCCGTGGGAAAGTCTAATTCGTCCATGCTCCGCCCAAAATGCAACTTGCGGCGCAGACTCCCTTTATGCTAACAGCCGTCCGCGCGGCGCGTGTCGCGCGCGGCGCAGAAAATTGCGTTCTAATTGTATTCAAAGCGCAATTACAGGACTTGGCAAAGTGCCAAGAGGGCCGCACGCGACACGCGCCGCGCGGAACGGCTGTTAGCATAAACGGTAGGCGGAGCATGGACGAATTAGACTTTCCCACGGCCCTGTACTCTAACCCGTGCAGTTTCGGGCAGGGAAACCACGACAGCACTCGTAGCTGGGGGCTGATAGTCACATACAGTCCATCAGTGTCTGTGCAGTGTACCATGCGTCTTTAATGGAGCGATTCAAATTCGATTCTTCTTTTCTAACGTCCTCGCGATCCTGTGCTCATAGTTCGCTGACAACTGGAGTCAGTCCATTAACATCCATCAGTCAGTCGGCTGACTTGTACTCCCTAATCAATTCCCGAGTATCCTCCTTCTCCTGTGTCACGAACTATGTACCCTATTTTATGTACCTGTACTGATCATGGTTTTTCAAAGTAGAGCGGACACTTTTCATCAGATTCTTCACGTCTCTGTCACGCACATGTGACCAGCTTGAAGTGGCTGCTCGTGGTCCTCTTGGATTGTTTATTCTTGATATGGTCGGAGCAGTTTTGACTGGAGTTATTCACCAGGTGCTAAAGTATTCTCGTCAAATTTCTTTCCACGCTTTGATTTTTTTTCCCTTACGTTCTCTTATGATACATCCCTTTACTTTTCTTTTTCTCTTATTGATCTATTTGCCCTGTGGATTATGCAAGTTTCTCATAGGATCGATTTTCTGTGATACTGAGTGGCGAATCGAATCGAAATGGTCGATGAAATGAATTCGAGTAATTGTGAGGATATGAAAAAGGTTTTCACTCTAGCTATAGAGAGAGCAGCAGCTAAGGTAGGTTCCTATTTTCAATTCGTTCTGCTGGTTAGTTGACCTATAAGGATAAAATTGTTGGTCAAAATGTGCATTCTACCAAAACATAGGTGCTAGTTGTCATCGTCATAAGTTTCTGAATCCACCTTTTCGGTATTTTTGAAGACTTCGATGGGTTATGTGACGGAAGTTTTTTTTTAATTCCTGAAATGCTCTTGTTGCTTGGAAGGAGGAAGACGGCATGGTTTTGGATGAAAGTGGAATTGTAAATGGGCCAGCTCATAGTCACATGCCAACAAGGGCAGAATTGGTAAGTTTTACGTTTACAGCCAGGTCTGATGCTTGACAAGTTCAGTTGGCTGCCAACAGCACAGGTGGAAGGAAGGCTGAGCTGTTGTATAACGTGGGAAGAAGGGAAAATGTCCCTCGTTCGCTCCTTATGGCGCTTGCCCTCCAGTACCGACTTAGTTGCTCTTGCTCCTGGTCTCAGTTTCCCAACTTTCGTTTTTGCAGATAGTGAAAAAGTGGAGTTCTGTTATGGACACCTTTTTGAACGAAGTCGTCTGCAGTGATGTCCCGAGCAGTGAGTCTTTCCCTGGCTTGCCAGGTGCTTTTGCTCCACCTTTCCCGTTCGAACCTGACTAAACATTATTGTTGAGGTTCGACTTCGACGTCGACGAATACATTCGATGGAAATTTTGTTTCTGGATTGATCTCTTCCACTCTTCGCCATGTTGTTCAGCAGCGTCTTAAGATTTGCAAAGAGTTTGTTAGCCGTGATACAACTTTATGAGGAAAGACAGGGTTCGTTATTGTTGTGATATTGAAGGAAGTTCCTGGAGGTGTTACGGTTCTGCTTTTTCAGGATCGCTTTAATTATCACGTGTTCGACTTTCCTGGTCTAGAGGATCAATTCAATGAATTTATTGCTCTTTACACCCTTTTTAATGCTCAACTTTCACTCAAACTCACTAAGTATGTTTGTCTTGATAGTTTCTGCGACACATTTGACAGGAACTCTTAGTTCTTGAGAACCAGATTCTTGAGGTAGTGTTCAGACTTCGCGATGACGCGCCACGACGCATCGCATCGGCGCGCTACCACTGCAGTGGCGCTTCACGTGCTACGGTATGAGGGTACGCGGTGTGGCGTGGGCGCATGTGTTGACGAGTTCTCGTCAGGATAACAGGAGGGTAGCTGCTGCTCTCAAACAGTCTAGTACCCTCCCATATTTCCCATATTTCTGTGCTCTCCCAAACACCAGCGACCGGCGCCGATCGATACCCGTCTGCGGCTGCGCACCCGCCTATAGCATAGGACGCCACTGCAGTGGTAGCACGCCTGCGAGCGTTGCAGTATCGTGGAGTCTCAACGCTGCCTACAGAACGTTTAATAGCTTATTCTGTACTCGTCCATGCTTTTGTGCTTTTCCAGGGATAGTGCCCAGGTATCGCTCTGTAGCTGGTTTATGGCTGGCGAAGGTGTTGAATGGGTTCGTGATGCTGCTCAAATCGGTGACATCGACGAAAGCAGCACAGTTCCACAATTTAACGAATTTCTCAGTGCTGTTGTAAAAGTGAGTAAATAACCCTCCCTCGTTGCCATTCCCCATGAACTGAATCATGTTACAGGCATCACTAAAACTTCTGTCTCCAAAGTCACCTCAAGCGCTGTTGGCGAGGAGTTTGGCAACCTATGATAAGTATCACGCTCTCATGGTAAGCTACAATAATGACTTAAAGATACGCTGTTCATTTAAGCGACCCACTATAGCATCACACCCGGTGGTGGAATGTGTAATTGTGCCGCTTTCTCAAGAGCAGCGATACGGGGTCAAATCCTGTGGCTTTTTAGACCAGGCCAACCAAGCCTGACGTTTGTTTGGGGTCTTAGTCAAACATGCTAATTCAAGCTACTCTACACCCATAACCTAGTGCTGCCTAGGCGAAAACTAAGTAGTACCATGTGACTCGACGGTACTCCTGACCGCATTTTACTCCCACTTTGAGGTTACTGTATCACGCCTTCTTTCTCAACTTATTATGGCGAAAGTCTTACAGAAAGGCAGCCTTCTTAGTACGACCTTCTGTATTTCAGCAATTGTGCAATACATATGAGAAGTGCAAGCTAGAGGAACTGCGTCCAATGGTGACATTTTACAAAGCCATAGCCTACTCTGGACTAGGTAAACCGTTGAAGGTAAGGTATGATTGAGGAGTTTAGTGCCATGTTGAGTGCATTTTTCTTAATGCTTTTGTTTTAGGCAAGCAGTGCATTTTTTTCTTAATGCTTTTGATTTAGGCAATGGCCGCTTTTAATGCAGCCGCCCGAGCTGTCACCGACGGGAACGAAGCACTTCTTATGGCGCTGGCGTCATTTGAAAAGAAGTCTGAGGAGATGAATCTCGGCGACTATTATGTCGTCGTAAGCAATTACTTCCTTAATTTCATTGTGTGAAACAATAACGACCAGGACACGTCCTGCCATCGGGAAATTTTTTGCCCTCCCTATTCCCTACCATCTTTCTAATTTTCAAAATTTCCAATCTTTCTAGTTTTCAAAATTTCCAACCATTTCTGACTTTTTTTTGTCGAAAGTTTCTTTAATTTCCTACAAAAAAAACTGCCGCCGACCGGGCAGCGCACGTTATGCAAAAAAAACGAATGGGGATCGAGAACACTTTTTCAAAGACGATCGCAGCCCCCCCCCCCTTGTAGTGTCCAAGTACGACCCCATCGGCGGGGATCACCAACGTAAGACGTGCCCTGATTACAACATTATGGTGTAAAATGCTATTTTAGGCGTTACGATATCTTAACAATCATCGGCACAGCGAAGAAGTTATTGAGATGGCGCGAAGTGCCATAGCGTCGTTGCCACCGGGTCACAAATGCACAGTATGTTTTTTTGTCGCGTTTGGTGTTTTAACTGTTATGGCGCTTGGGCCAAAAATTACCTTTTTATTGGCATTTCATGAGTTCAAATGGTCTAGATTGAAGGTGCTAGACTTCTGGATTATGGTCTACTAATCGTTGAATTTCTAGTCTACCATTTACGCAACCCTCTTCAATCATCTGATCAACCAAGGAAACTGGTCTGACGCGTTGTTGAGCATCATACAGAATACGGTAACTTTTAAGGATTTCTTGACTACTGCCACTGTTCTCTGACTTTTTTGTGCACTTGGGCCGATTCGCGTCGCTAACTTTGTAACCCTCCTGGGGGGGGGGGGCAGGAGTGTTACAGGGCTTCTGTCTAATTCGTTCGCTGTGAGTGTCCACGAGTATTTCCTCATTGCCTCTTCTGGTCCGTATTTCGAGAAATAATAGGGACGAAAATAAGGGGGATGAGGGATGATAGAAGGAGGAAATTAATGGAAGGAAGGTGGCCCCGTGCATACATACCCAATTTGTTTTACAGAATGTGCTGCCAGCTTCATTTGTGTATTGTTTACTTTCCCTGATAGGAAAATTGAGGAAGGGCGACGATTTCACAATTTCCTTTCCACCTTCCTTCCATTAATTTCCTCCTTCTATCATCCCTCATCCCCCTTATTTTGTTGAACAGATATCCTGACACTGAACCAGAAGCCAAGTGCAGGGTGTGATTGTTCGTCTGCGCCGCCTGTTACAGTGACAGAGACCGTTTCTTTTTCACGCTCATAATAAGAAAACAGTAGATAACCGGAATGTCGTGTTTTACTCCTAAACTACGTCACTTCTTGTCACTTTTCACTTTTCTTCGGC